AAAACGCACTGCGTGCTGTTTGTTCTTGTGGGCTGGAAGATTGAATGTTTGTGTGTAATCCAAGAGAAACAGTCTACCCAACCACTGCCACGTTTTCATCTATTGGTAAACATCAGCTGCTGGTTGGTCTTAAGGGAGGAGACTGAATTAGTTCCAGATGGAGAACTCTTTCAGCCCATTTAAGATTTCCAGTTCATTTAAGACAGCAGGTCAGTAATTTAGGGGAGTAGTTTTTGTTCTTATTTGCTGTTCTGCTTCCTGCCATGTGTGGAATCAGTGATATCGAATATGATACCGCAGTGCTGCTGAGGGTGGGAGTTTCATTGTGCTTAATTGCTTTTAATTGAGTAGTATTAACAGAAAAAGTATTAACAAAGTTGTGATAACTAACCGTTTTGAATGTAGAGGGGTATTTTTCTAAGACCTGAAAAATGAGGAGGAGTCAGGAATCTGTTTTTCTTACCCAGTTATCTTAAGGAATGCGTATCTTCCTTCAAATTGGCTAGTTTTGTCTTAAACTGGGTTAACACAAGTATATGGTTTAAGGCGAGCATGTCCCTTGGTGTGCTGCTAGCATGATTTCCTGGTAAAATGGAAAGAGATAAGGGGAAAGAGATGGAAACCTTCTATGCGTGTCTGTAATAACAGAAATAGAGAACATGAGGAATGGAAAACTTCAGTGTAAAGGAGCTGCTGTTTAGGATATGGACACTGACAGGATATATTTAACTCTTTAGTAGCTCTTTATGTTTTATTTTGAGATGCCATGTTGGATGTTAAAAAAACATGAAGAAAATAGTGTATCCTGTTCACATGCTAATAAAATCAGGGCAGGTGCAGTAGGTCTCATTACAACTCTTGTATTTTTGCTTGCCATCAATTATTTCTTGTGCTGCCATTGTTTGATGCACTGTAGTATTATGGTCGTATTTCAGACAGCTTTTCCAAGATGTCCAGTCATTAACTTCCCTGCCAAGAATTACTTCTTAACTGTGTAAGATCCACCATCTTGTCTATCCAGCAAATGTGCTTCTGGAGAAAAGTGTTTCAAATTTAATTTTGCCTATTTGCTCATTGAGGAGCAAAAGAGGTCTTGTTTGTCATTTTATTCTCATCTGATTAACCCTATCTTTTGCTTATAAAGCACATACTGTAAAATAGAAGCAATAAATCCAGTTGTGTGTTTTAATGTAGATAAGCTGCTCAGGTGCAATTTCTTTCTTTCTTAATGTAGACTTTGAATCTGTTAGCATTATGATGCTAAATGACATTACATGACTTGAGAAGAATAAAGGTCATAATGTGTTTTTGTTATTCTCTGTACTCTTCTACTGTAACTTGCCACGTTTCATGTAATCTGTGGAGGTGTTCAAGGCCAGGTTGGACAAGGCTTTGAGCAACCTGGTGTAGTGGAAGGTGTCCCTGCCCATGGCAGGGGGTTGGAACTAGATTATTGTTAAGGTCCCTTCCAAACCAAACCCTTATGTGATTCCATGGATTTGTAAAAGGAGGAAGCTCTAGCTGCAAATGATTTAATGCTTTTTTCTGTCAGATCTTTTAAAAAGACTTCAGGAATTATTGCAAGTGCTAATATTGAAATGCAAGCTATAATAGTACTGCAGTAGTAAAATAGGTAATGTCATGTTATTTACAAGTAATTAATTAGAGAACAAGTCTGTTTGGAAAGCTCTTGGACATATTTTCCTACTTTGTTCACCTAGATCTCGTAGTTACCAGGATAGCTGTGCTTGTGATTACTGGAAGTTCCAGTCCTTGATTATTGACTGCTCCCTTTAACTCGAGATGGTAACAGGTTAGTTAGTACAAAGGGTACAGGCTCCTGCCCAGATTTTCTGGGTTGTGAAGATTTTTATGTTGAGTGGTTATAAGAAGACCTTAGACTGAGATCAAAGAAACTGTAGAATCTTCAAGAGGAGTTAATTATAATGGAAAAGGCTATGTTGACATACTTGAGAAGAAAAAGAATTTAAAAGTCACGTGAAGTCTTGTGTGTGTGTGCATGCTGTTTTAGAATAAAAAAAATTTCTCCCTTATCTAAGTTCTTAGTGCTTAATCTTGGTATCGTGATATTAATGCAAAATCCAGTCTAAAAGAAAAGGTACAGCAGTCTTTCTATCTTTCATAAACTGCAGGTGAAATGTGGTATCCTTGCTGCATTAGGGGTTTAAAATGTCATTATGTTCAGAGCTACATGCTTTTTTTGTTTCTCTTTTTTTCATTTTTAGGCAGAAAAAATGGAATAGACCACATGAAGAAACATGCAAAGCTTATTTTTATGCAAGATGTTATTTGGAGGACCAAGTACACTTTTTCAGGCCATGGGAGATGAAAGACTAATCACATGATATTTTTGTTCTGTCGAAGTGCTGTTATGTGCTAAGTCAATGTTGGTTTGTATTAAGGACGAATACTATTTTCTTATGTCAGCATGTCAACTGTGACAAGTGCTCAGACACCGGAGGAACCTAATCCTCCCCCCCTTGAAGAAAAGCCAAAGGGAAAATCACTATTTCATTTGGGTTCGCTGTTTGCTAACAGGAGTGAAAAATTTGTAATTGCCAGGAGTGATAGTGTACCAGAGGAGTACGTTCTGAAAATAACTATCACGGAGACTACGGTGATTGAGTCAGACTTGGGCATCTGGAATTCTCATGCTCTCATCTACCTCACTTTGTGGTTTTTCTTCAGCTTTTGCACTCTTTTTCTTAACAAATATATTCTTTCATTACTGGAAGGAGAACCCAGCATGCTAGGTAACCCTACCTTTCTTTTACACTTTAATTCCAGTAAGATATTTGACAATACCAGATAGTCCTATATAAAGTTGAGGGGCAAAGTGGCTCAACTGAAGTGAAAAAGACCTTGTCAGGAGATGTGGGGGTGAATCTTGGGGCTGGGAGTTGTGATCTCAGCCTGTAAAGGGGCTTCTGACCACCATCCTTTCCTCCACTTGCTGAAAGATATTGCTCATAGAGGAGCTGTAAGATGGTGTTTGAGAACTAAGAGCTGAAAAGAAAAATTTAATTTTTTGTTTTCTGTGTTGGAGCATAGCGTGGGTTAAAAAAAAAAAGTCAGTTGTTGATAGTCTCCAGAGCTGTTAAGATTAATTTGTTTGTTTGTAGGAGTGCAAAAGTTGCCTTTGCGTGACCTCTATTATGCAATGGGCTGCCTTTTCCTTTTTTCCCTTTTTTTCCTTTTTTTTTCTTTTTTTTTTTTTAAAGGGGGAAACACAGGGCATTTCCTCTGAGAACCAGATTTTATTGTTGTATGCCACCTTAGCTTTATTCTGCTGCCTTGCTTTTGTGAGAAGTCATAAAATCTAGACAATAGTTGCCATGTTTCTTAACTGCTAAAAGTACTACACATAAGTTTGTCTAAGAAACTTTCTTACATTGCTTAATTTGTCATGTCACCATCATCTTCTGATTTTATTATTTTTTTTTCTTCTCATCTTTCTTTAGGTGCTGTTCAAATGCTTTCAACCACTTTCATTGGCTGTATAAAAATGTTTGTTCCATGCTGCTTGTATCAACACAAAACACGCATCTCTTATCCACCCAATTTCATCATGATAATGCTGTTTGTTGGATTAATGAGGTAAATGGTTAAATATTTCCTAGATATCTATCTGGTTGCTTTACTGCATTCCTCTGAACGGAGGCTGTATTTTCATGGCGCTCTTCCTTTTCCTTCTTGATTGGAAAGCGTTTGGAGTATTCACCTTTCCCCCAAAAAAATCACAGTATAATTTTATTTTTAGTCCCTATTGCTAAATGTTCCCTTTTCCAGATGTCCGTTTTTTGGCTAGCTTGGCTTCCCATCACATTTAGCTTCTTTGGGAACATATTTCTCTTTCCATTTACTTTCTTCCTGTTCTCTTTTGAGGCTGATGTTTATTTAGTTTACTGGTATTTATTATGATGTTGCTTTGTTCCCTTGCCTTTTCCAGCAATTGCCTCAAAAGTGATACAGGCTATTAACATTTATCTTTTTAAAAAGTAAGTATTTGGTGTGTGCTGGCACAGTATCAGTTGGTGGTCTAGGAGAGAATATATGATTTGGTTTCCTCTACACTGCAAAAGTGATAAAGGATAACAGGGTTCAGATTAATTGAGAGTAGCTTCACCGTAATAACTCTGCCCTGTTGTTTAATTTCATGGTTTAAAGTGTGGTAAATGTGTAGTGTACCTGATCTACACTAAAGATGGATAACTGCAAATGATAAAATTTCTTTGGTGAATTACTGTTTATCAGCATAATAGTACTAACTTTTTCAACTGAGCCTATAGAAAGCTTCAGCTTAAAACCCTGTAATCTGAAGCTTGGTTAGAGTGCATTAAAAAGTAAACTCTGATGTTTTCTGGAAGTCCACTGTACATCCATAGAAATTGCACAGTTGCCCAAGGGTGCCTTCATTTGTGCTAAATAAATAATAATGTTTAAGCCAAAGCAGAAAGAAATAGATCTGACACATTCCACCTGGCAGGTGCTGTGGAGTAACAGAGCGCAGCTGAGCAGTTACTGCCCTTCAGTCATGCTACCATGGTTTCATAACTGGATTGCCAGCTACACCTGTCCATATTCTTAGTTACTGCAACTCAAATTTTTAAACCTAGAGAAATTATAATGCAATTCTTTTTTTTTTATGCTAGATGTCTAAGAGTAGTTCTTAAAGCATTATTTTATTTTCTGCTTAATGTCATGTGTACTTCTATTACAGATTTGCAACAGTAGTCTTGGGTCTTGTCAGCTTGAAAAATGTGGCGGTTTCATTTGCAGAAACTGTTAAAAGCTCTGCACCTATTTTTACTGTTATCATGTCTCGGATGATACTGGGAGAATACACTGGTAAGCACTTCATTGTTGAAATGTGGTGGTTTGGGGTTGTTTTTTTTTGTATAATACTATCACTTAGTTGACCATGGGTGAGGAGATTCCACCAAATTATAGTAAATGCAGCTGGAAGAATCATTCTGTGTGAACACAATAAGTAGACTATATATAAAGTAAAAAAGGATTCATTGTAATGCAGCTGTGTAAGGGCATCGTTGCTCTAAAGTTATTTTTCTCTCAAGAAAATATTAATGCAGCCTTAAATAACTGAAGTTCGGTGTGTTTCTCATAAGGACAGCTTGCTGCTCAGAATTTAAAATTCTTTAATTTCTTCATGGTGTTCACTCTGTGATTAAAAAAAAAAAAAGACAACAAAACCCCAGACAACTGGCTTACCACTATATGATTTCTTCCAGTCCACAGTATAATTTCTTTGTGATTCCACTCGCAATTGCATGTTTGCTTGCATTTTGCTTGTTGCTAGCTGTAAGTCATAGGAGTAATACAGAAGCCATGTATAGATTGCTTTGTGATGCAAAATGGCAAAAGGCTGAAATAAGCCAGAGGAAGAAGAGTAATTAAATCACAGAGTTAACAGGGAGAGTATAATTTTCTTCTGTCATTTGGTGAAAAAGATGAAACAAAGACAGTCATCAGTCTGTTGTTTTTCTCCAAGGGAGATACTTTTATCAGTGAGTATATATCTAAATTGTTTTCAAGAGCATCCTGCTGTTGTCTGAGATCTCACTTTAGAACCTCTGTACTTTAAAATCCAGTTAAATAAGTTGCTTGCTCTTTCAACTCAAGAAGTTAAGGTGGAATTTAAGCTTTCAAAAACTGTGGTATCTGATACATGTAATTGGAAGTACAGTAATTAAACTCAGACTTAAATTTTTCTCTTCATTTGCAGGATTGCTGGTTAATCTCTCTCTCATTCCTGTTATGGGTGGGCTAGCTCTATGTACAGCTACTGAAATCAGCTTCAACATCCTAGGTTTCTCGGCAGCTTTATCTACTAATATCATGGACTGGTAAGGCATAATGATAGTTGCCTATGTGGAATAAAGGAATTTTATTTATTGGTGGATTGAAGAAAATTGTTGCCTGTAGTTGTTTTTATACCCTACATTTAAATGTTGGTATTTAAAATTTATTTTTAACAAAAGATACAGTTTCTCTATCATATCTGCTAGCATTCCTAAGATTAAAAAATAGTACAACTTGTTAGTCTAAAAGAGTTAGACTAAACTCCTTTCTGTAGTTGCATAATGTGTAGAATGTGAAATGTGTAGAATACATATCTACCCATCTAAGGGGAACAACTGTCTTTCTTGTGGATTGGTTTATTTGTTGTAACTAAAGTACAGATAAATGGTGTTGTGGTATTGTGTTTTTTTTCCAGTTTGCAAAATGTCTTTTCCAAAAAACTACTCAGTGGAGATAAATACAGATTTTCGTAAGTATTAAAAATATTTCAGGTTTGATTATAGGTGGACTTTGGGCTACAGAAGGAAACTATATATTTATGATTGTATTGCACCAAGATTTTTTTTTTTTTTTCTCAGGCTGTTTACAGACAGCTTTAATCTAAACCATTTTATCAGGGAAAGAAAACTCCTCTGTGGTCAGATCCCACTGTGGTAGGTCGGAGTCTCGTAATTGGCTAAAATTCTCAGCGTATCCAGAAATAAGTCCTTATTCTGCAATCATAAAACATCCCTTAATGTTATTAGGCATGCAGAAATGAACTTTAGAACTTGCTTGATGTTTTAACTACAAAACACAAGCCAGGAATAAAATCTTGTGGTAAAATATACCAATGTATGCATTTTACCATGAGAAGAAATGCTAATTTTGGTCCTGGAATCTTGTGTCTTTTGTCTTCAGTCTGTCTTGGCCAACACAAAAAAGAAACCACTATCTTTGCCAAAAGATTGCTGAATTTGTTATCACCAAAGCTTGGTAGATGGCTTTTACTAATTTTTGATATCGGTAAATACAATAGTGACGCAGCTTTCTTCAGCTCTAAGAAAGAAAAAGGTTTTCATCATTTTGTCATTGTTTTTTCTCCTTTCGTAGAGCCCCAGAGCTTCAGTTCTACACAAGTGCTGCTGCAGTGGTTATGCTCATTCCAGCTTGGATATTTTTCATGGTAATTTGAATTTACTGACGCTGATTTATGTTTTCTTTTTGACTTGTGAGTGGAGTGTGCAACTAACATTAATACGTTAAGATTAACTTTTACTTTTCTTCCCACTTTTTTTTTTTTAAATCACCCTGAAATGCATTTCATCTTTTGTTTGCAAGCGATTGGGGGACAGTAAAAAAGAGAAAAATTTCAGAGAAACAATTTAATATAGAGGAGTTGACAAGTGATCCAGAAAGCCCAAGTTTATTTCAGGATTTTTGAGATCAATTCATGTCTTTGTCTAAGTGCATTTAAAGTTTTAGATAAAGACTTGAAAACCAGATCTTAAATATTTGTTGACTTTTTGCTGATATTCACATGGTATACAGGAATACTAACTCTCTGAAAGCAAAGTTGAGCTGAAGTAAGTGTAATGCATCAGGTTAAATATGTATCCTTCGTATTCTGGCATTTCACTGCCATGCATCAGTGTTCAGAAAAGAAAATATCTCACAGGCAGGCTGAACACACTGGAATGTTCAGTCAGATGAGAGCTGTTTTTTCTAATATATTCTTTTGGGGGGGAAAATTTGTAGGATCTAAATGTCCTGTATGTTTTAGGTTTTGTTTTGCTGAAGTTTAAGGGTAAAACCGTATCTGCTTATAATAATGAATTGGGTGGAAAATCACTTTTATTTGCTTATGAACTAAACTCTTAAAGTTCTCTTTTTTTGTTGTTGTTGTTTAGGATGTGCCTGTGATTGGGAAAAGTGGGAGAAGCTTCAGCTACAACCAAGATGTTGTCGTACTTCTGTTAATAGATGGAGTCTTGTTCCATCTACAAAGTGTTACAGCCTATGCCTTGATGGGAAAAATTTCTCCTGTGACTTTCAGGTAGAACTGTATTTTCATGTCAAGAACACTATTTTATTTTCTTTTTTTCTTGCTCAGTATTTCTGCTTGAGAACTAGGCAGTAAAGGTATTGTGCAAAGAAATAAATAATGTAAATGTGTAAATGCATCAAATTGAAGAAAACTTTACACATGCAGATCACCAAAACTTTGTGGTTTGCTCCTTCACTGTGTGAGGGGAGCAGCATTTGACACATGCTGTTGAGCTTATGGAAGAGGTGCTCACATTTTCTAGGAGGGGTACTGTATTCAGCTTTAACAGCAATTCCTTAAAGCTGGTTGATGGGACTGAACAGATTCACTGAAACCCACAATCCAATGTTTAAGCTGCCGTTTGCTTTAGTGATAAGGCAATACCTATATACATCTCGGTGCAGTGCAGAATATGAGCAGTCAGCTTGGTATTCCTTTTTTCTTGAAGCATGACACCAGCATGTCAAGCTGTAATTGTTGAATTATATGTGTTCTTTAAAGACAGCTTCCACCTACATTGTCAGTTATTGGCAGCTTTTTTAGGCTGTTGCAGTTCTGATTCAGTAACTGGTCATTTATATGAATGTTCCAAGGGCCTGTGGGGTAATCCTGGTCCTAAACTCTGAAGGCTTCTGCGGTCTTATACTTTTAGGTGCCACTGCTTGTGATAATTCACTGTTGCACATGCTTATTCTGAAGTTGCTAGTCTTCTCTACATAATAGGACGTAAAATCATATATATATATATATATATATATATATACACACACAAAATTTCTTAACTACTTGTTATAATGTTATTGGTATGATGTAGATAATGATTCTTTTCGGGTTATAATGCTTTATTACCTGAACAGTAGCAGCAGACTTGCACAAGAGAGTTATGTCGCTAGTGTTCTGTTAGCATTTTCTGGATGCCTGTGTTAGCTAGAAATAAAATGCTAACACTGTACTGCATACTTAAAAGCAACAAAAACTTGAGGTGAATTATTCGTACTAGCTCTAAAATTAAGGTGAGTATAAAGATACGAGTGCTGATACACAAGCAATTTGGTTATGGTGTTAGCTCCTGGAGGAAAAGTGGAATCTGAGTTGGTGTTTAAAAAGCAAACAAAACGAAGAGAGGTCCCGCTACATTAAAGCATGGTTGTGCATGGGGTATGAGGAAAGCTTTATTTGGCCTTAATTTTTATATTCCTTTCCAGTGTTGCTAGTACTGTGAAGCATGCGCTGTCTATCTGGCTAAGTATTATTGTGTTTGGTAACAAAATCACAAGCCTCTCAGCTATTGGGACTGTTCTAGTGACAATTGGAGTTCTACTATATAACAAGGCAAAGCAGCATCAGCAAGAGACCATACACAGCCTGGCAGCTGCAGCCCCGCAATCTGCACAAAGTACAACTGAAGATACTGAGCCACTAATTTCCAAGGATTTGGAACCGTATGATTAATATGGCCATTTATTCTTCCAACCTAGTGTAACTCAAAGGAACTCTTCCTGAAAGTGGTTGTTTCTTCACCAGTTGATGCTGATTTGGTTCCTTCGAGTTCATGGCAGGCCAAGCCTGGGACTTGAAGCAGAGAGAAAACGATGGGAAGAATCCAGTAAGTCTTGATTTACTGAGAAACTGATACACCGGAGGACCTAGCGTCATATAATGTGGTAAACGTGGGCTTTATTGTCTTTCCTTGACTGCAAGTAACATAACAGGCCTATATTAGAGAAGAACTTCAGTGTCTTGTGGGGAAAACGATTCCTTTCTCCTTACCCATCAAAATAATGTGAAAATGTGGACCCATGGCTGTATTCTGCTTGCTTGCAGTGGAATGAAATTGGTGCATAAATGAAATTCCTAGTTGTTTGTTACTCTACGCTGCCTGCATCCTCCATCGTTTGTGTGCGTCGTAGAGCTGGAAGAAGGAACCTCCTCCTCTCCCAACAAATGACTGAGTTTGGTATCTGTTTAGTTGAAGTAAACTATGGAAATGATTCCATGCCCCAAAGCAGTGATGAGCAGCTATTTCTGACTACAAAGCTAGGGATGAAAAGTGATTTTTCTACTAAAACTTAACATGGAAATATTGCATCCTGGTTGCGTATTGACAATATTGAAACACAAATATATATACATATACTGTATAAATTAAGTGTTTAATTAAATATTTGCAGATGCTTAGAGGTAAAAAAACACTGAAAAATTTTGGTGGTAAAGGAAGCAGGATCTGTGTATTTCTATAAGAAACCCTTTTAATATTTTAATTTCTTCCATTTTATTGTATATTTCTGTTATGAGGAAATAAATTGCTATTTTTTTTTGTATTATTTCTAAGACTGCAACAAAAAACTGCCTTTTAGAAACTCAGGGTTATAATTCTGACCTATGTGCAAAATATTTCTATAATTTCTGATTAGGTAAAGAATATCAGAGTTATCTGTGACAGAGATGGAAGAGATGTCACTAAAGGGAGGAATATTAACCATAAACTGAGGCTAGTCTTAACTTCTTAAAAGCAGCAGAAGTATTCTTTTTTTTAAGGAAATTCTCTTTTGTGGTAGATCAAAGATTAAAGCTAACTTTCAAAAATGAAAAAAAAATCTTAAGTATTATTAGTAATTAGTTTTGGCAAAAAAGCACATGTAGCTACAAAAACATTCAAATGGAATTCTTGGTAACAAAGTTAAATTAATTTTATTTTTAATAATTGCCACTATTGGGGAAGAAAGAGTGTAGCATGGCATAAAAAGAATAGATAAAGTGGTCTTTATGGTAGAAGTAACTTCTAATAGGAAGTTACCATTGGAGTTCCTGCAAAATTTAAGCTCATGCTTACATTTCCACTTGTGAGGTATTCCGTTAGCTTTAGTGAACTATTCCTGCAGAGACCGAAAGTATGTTCCCGAGAGAGTCTCTCTGAGGAAGCCTATCTTCTGTTTAAAATAGTATGTACTTGTTTTCTCTGATGCTTCCTTCGGGTTACATTCCTGTAAGTGACTGGTTGCCTGGGGCGTATGCCATGAAGATTTGAGCAGGAGGGAAATGTCAGGTTTTTTTCATCATTGCATACATGATGTCTGTGGGTTTTTTTGTTTCTTTGTACTCCTATCACTTTTACAAAAAGCTGTGGACGATGGGGTGGAGCTCTGTTTTGTTTCGGTGGTTTGTTTTTGTGGTTTTTTTTTCTATTTTTGTAATTATGCCTTTTAAAATCCCAGTGTATTTGGCAGAAAACAAAGTCCGGCTTGCATCATATTTCTAGTCTTGTTGGAAGACAGAACTGTAAGTGGCTTTCTGGTTGTCTAGCTCCGGACTCGTGTAAACCCCTTCATCAACTGACTGAACTTCATTTTAAGCTAGCAGGCTTTTGCGTTTCCTATTGCTGGAAAACTTTTTGTGAACCAAACAGCCAGGAGGATTTTGGAACCTGTGATTTCTGACACGTCTAAGCGTATTAGGGGCTGGTTTAGCCCCCCTCCCCGTTCTGTGGCAGCAGGATAATCCTGTTTTACTAGGGGTTTGTTTTCATAGAGTTGATCTTATGTACTTTTCTACACAGTCTTCTTGGCCTTTATTTTTATTAGATAAAACGAACCAACTGCTTTACTGTCCGCTTGTAAGACGTTTTCTTCCTCCAGCCGTACCAGTAATTTTCCTTTGCTGTTGCTCCTGTTGGGTAAAGGAGGAGCGCTTTGTTCTGCGTTAAGAACTCACTTCGGGGGCATACCCCCCTCCTGCACTGACCAAGTCGGGCGCCGTCAGCCACAGCTCTGCGCATCATTTGTTGTACACTTGTCACGTACGTTCTCATAGACACAGCACCTCTTCCTTAAAAATGTGAATTCCTGAAATAACATGAGACTGAAATAAGGCAGACTGGCAAATGTGCTACTCGCAGCATTAACCTGTTTCTGAAATGGCATTATTTCCCAGCTGTAACGATGGATGGATAACAAAGTACCTGTCCTGTGTGGTGGTGTCACCTTGAGTCACCGTTCATGTCACTTCGGCAATGTGTCGATTTCTGTTGCCCAACTCTCAGCGCTTTTTCCTTGTTTGGAATTGCCTTTCTCGCACTGAATTTACGTAAATTCTCCCTCGGAGCGTGTGTGTTATCTGACTTGTTGGAATCGTGCTTTACTCACAGGAATGATAATAAAATTTAACTTTTTGTATGTAATTGTAAGGGTGGTCCTAAAGCCTGCCTGTTTGTTGTGGGTTGGGTTTTTTTATTTAATTTAGTTGACTAGACAGAGCCTGCTCGTTAATTAATTAATTACCTTCCCGCCAGCGCCAAGGCTGATGCATTGTAGGCAACAGCCGATGTGCCGATTCCGTGGCCATTTCTGTGACTTTCTCCCGCCCTCCGTCATGGCGG